ACGCATGTTGAGGTCGACGGAGCACATCTCCAGGCGATGTACGCATATACTGACACATAAGATTAACATGAGTCAGAAACTATGTAACATCAATGCTTTCTCTGAGGATGTTATTTTGATGCGATTACAGATGAAATGTATACACATGACGGAATATAATTGAGAAAAACATTACATATTTAGCAAGTGTATTTATGGGAGCACATGTTGAGCGTCGATGGAGACAATCTCCAGGCGATGTACACTATTGATTAACATGAGTCAGAAATAAATATATGTAACATCAATGCTTCATATAGTAGCATATAGTAGCATATAGTAGCATATAGTAACATATATATATATATATATATGGTAGGCTATAATGTTAGGCGTATGCTAGGCGTATAATGTTACGCTATGCGATGTGCAATAACCTTATTGGCATTTGCATTGCACGTATTAGTGGTAGCCATATTGCGTGACGTCATCATAGACCTGGAGGTGTGACCCAAAGGATGCAATTTTGCCCCCCTACAGGCTGGGGCGCTCTCCTAATTATAAACACAGGTCTACTGATAATAAATTATTACAGAAATCTATGTTGAGATACCCCATAACCATATTAAATGCATATTCATCACAAAACACCACTCTTCTCGTGAGATAATGCACATGCGCTAACACACTAACGTGGTCAGATTGTGTACTGACTGGTATATGCAGTAGACACCTTACATGCAAGATCTTCTTCCTCTTTCTTAAGAGAGGTATACTGATGAAATGTTACCATATGAATCTATGCTTGAATACCTCCTCTTCATATTAAATGCATAATTTACACAAAATATAATTTTTCTCGAGAGATATTGCGCATGCTCGAGCACCGTCTCAGTCGTGCAGTACGGACTGAAGAAAACTGCATAATATATCTTTCTGAGAAAAACGGGGTGGGAGATTGAGGTATTTTGACAGGAAAGATAGCTGAGTGGCGGTAGAAAAAGAATGAGGCTGAGCGTGGGACAAGGAAGGCAATGGCAAAGACGGGAGGGGACTATATAGCAATTTTGCCCCCTACAGGCTGGGGCGCTCTCCTAATTATAAACACAGGTCTACTGATAATAAATTATTACAGAAATCTATGTTGAGATACCCCATAACCATATTAAATGCATATTCATCACAAAACATCACTTTTCTCGTATGATAATGCGCATGCGCTAACACACTAACGTGGCCAGATTGTGTACTGA